TTACAACAAAAGATACTGGTTTCACCCAAGAAGTTCCATGGGATTTAGGAACTCTGTGTCAGGAACTGTGGTCACAGACCCAATGTGAGAGCAAAAGATGCTCCTAGTGTCCCTATTAGTTTGGAAATCGTAAGGGTTTTAGGAACTTCATGCCAGGAACGTGGGGAGAGGGGCAGAAGACAATGTTTATTTATTCTACTGTCTCACAGCTACCAGGATAGTTTCTTAAGAAGACCTCAAATACAAATCATCCCTGTCTGCCAGTTTAGTTTAATGGTACTTTTTGCAGATTGTCTTTATTTTGTTCATTTATTTGTGAATCTTTTTTTGTTTCTTAATTCACAATGTGATGTAATTTTGGCCATTTTAAATGAAATTTTAATTAAAATGATTCAAATATGTATTATTAATTAGCAACGATTGAGATGTTCTTTAGCATACTTTGGGAAAAATGGATAGCCTTTTGTCTAACTGATATAGGAATATTTGTTAAAGATAAATATTTAATGAGGGCGCTTTTGCACATAGTGTTGAATTTCACTAAGTAAGTGAGTTATCTTGCTTTGTATATATTTATGATTGAAAGCGAAGATAGTTATCAGTGAGCTATCTTTGTAAAAGAGAAATGTAAAAGAGAAATCACAGCTATTTGCTAAATAAGACATTGAATGAAAGTATACTCTTATAATCACCAAAACTAAGTAGGTTGACAGGGCTTTGAATTAGGAAGTTCACAATATAAAAGTTATATTAACTTTTTAAAAAGTTAAATTAACTATTTAACTCTTATATTGAGACCTGGTGGCTTGGTAAGAAATTGTCATTTTATGATGAACTGGAGAAGTTTGTGATGAAGTTTGGATTCTGTGATCTTTCTGTATAATATGAAAGATATTTCACAGGTTGGGAAGTGAAAAATGACATTGTTTAGATCAGTGACTTAACTTGGAAGAAGTTTAAACTGGGTAAAGTAATATTCATATACTCTAATCATCTTAGATTATTTCTTGTTGTTGTTCAGTCACTAAGTCGTGTCCGACTCTTTGTGACCCCATGAGTTAAAGCATGCCAGGCTTCCTTGTCTTTGCTGTCTCCCTTAGTTTGCTCAAACTCATGTCCATTGAGTCAGTGATGCCATCCAAAGATGTCATCCTCTGTCATCTACTTCTCTTGCCCTCACTCCTTCCCAGCAAGTCTTTCCCAAGCAAGGTCTTTTCCAGTGAGTCAGCTCTTCCCATCACGTGGCCACAGTGTTGGAGCTTCAGCTTCAGAACCAGTCCTTCCAATAAATATTCATGCTTTATTTCCTTTAGGATTGGCTGGTTGGATCTCCTTGCTGTCCAGGCGACTTCCAACAGTCCTTCAGCACTACAGTTCGAAAGCATAAATTCTTTGGTGCCTAGCCTTCCTTATGGTCCAACTGTCACATCTATGCATTACTTACGGAAAAACCAAAGCTTTGACTATATGGACGTTTGTTGGCAAAGTGATGTCTCTGCCTTCTAATACACTAAGTTTGTCATAGCTATTCTTCCAAGGAGCAAGCGTCTTTTAATTTTGTGGCTGCAGTCACCATCTGTATTGATTTTGTAGCCCAAGAGAATGAAATCTGACAGTTTCCACATTTCCCCATCTGTTTGCCATGAAGTGATGGGACTGGATGCCATAATCTGCATTTTTTGAATATTGAGTTTTAAGCCAGCTTTTTTATTCTTCTCTTTCACCCTCATCAAGAGGCTCTTTAGTTCCTTTTCACTTTCTGCCATTAAAGTGGTATCATCTGCATATTTGAGGTTGTTGATATTTCTCCCAGCAATCTTGATTCCAACTTGTGATTCATCCAGCCTGACATTTTGCATGATGTACTCTGCATGTAAGTTAAGTAAACAGGATGACAATGTACAGCCTTGATGTACTCCTTTCCCAATTAGAACCAGTCTGTTGTTCCACATCCAGTTTTAACAGTTCCTTCTTGTCCTTCATACACGTTTCTCAGGAAGCAGGTAATGTGGTCTCGTATTCCCATCTCATTAAGAATACTCCTTAGTTTACTGTGATCCACACAGTCAAAGTCTTTAGCATAGTCAGTGAAGCAGAAGTAGAAGTAGTTTTGTTGGAATTCCCTTGCATTTTTTATGATCCGGTGGATGTTGGCAATTTGATTTCTGGTTCCTCTGCCTTTTTTAAATCCAGCTTGTACATCTGGAAATTCTTGGTTCATCTACTGCTGAAGCCCAGCTTGAAGGATTTTGAGCATTACCTTCCTAGCATGTGAAATGAGTAGAATAGTATGGTAATTTGAACATTCTTCAGCATTGCCTTTCTTTGGGATTAAAATGAAAACTGACCTTTTCCAGTCCTATGACTACTACTGAGTTTTACTCCAAGGCCAAACTTGCCTGTTATTCTAGGTATCTCTTAACTTCCTACTTTTGCATTCCAGTTCCCTAGCCTTTCTTTGGGATTAAGATGAAAACTGACCTTTTCCAGTCCTATGGCTACTACTGAGGTTTACTCCAAGGCCAAACTTGCCTGTTATTCTAGGTATCTCTTAACTTCCTACTTTTGCATTCCAGTTCCCTATGATTCGAAGAACATCTTTTTTGGGGTGTTGGTTCTAGAAAATCTTGTAGGTCCTCATAGAATCATTTAGCTTCATCTTCTTTAGCTTCTTCTTTAGTGGTTGGGGCATAGACTTGGGTTACTGTGGTGTTGAATGATTTGCCTTGGAAATGAACCGAGATCATTCTTTCATTTTTGAGAGTGCAATCAAGTACTGCATTTCAGACTCTTTTGTTGACTATGAGGGCTACTCCATTTTTTATAAGGGATTCTTGCTCACAGTAGTAGATATAATGGTTATTTGAATTAAATTTGCCCATTCTCATCCATTTTAGTTCACTGATTCTTAAGATGTCAGTGTTCACTCCTGCTGTCTTCTGTTTGACCACATCCAATTTACCTTGATTCATGGACTTAACGTTCCAGGTTCCTATGCAGTATTGTTCTTTATGGCATCGGACTTTACTTTCACCACCAGATGAAAACCACAGCTGGGTGTCATTTCCGCATTAGCTCAGCCTCTTCATTCTTTCTGCAGCTATTTCTCTGCTCTTCCCTAGTAGTATACTGGACACCTACTGACCTGGGGAGTTCATCTTTCAGTGTCCTATCTTTTTGCCTTTTCATACTGTTCATGGGTTTCTCAAGGCAAGAACACTGAAGTGGTTTGCCATTCCCTTCTCCTGTGGACCACGTTTTGTCAGGTCCTGACTAGCAGGGACGTGCTTTAGCCACTCATTGTAGCTGGGTGGCATGCCCAGTACCCTAGTTGTCCCACTGCTGGTCCTCATTGAGTGTATAATGACTGTTATTAAACTATGTTAATAATTGATGATATTCATACTCCACTGTATAAGAAAATATTTCTTACCTTAAAATTAACTCATGAAGATCTCTAGATCAGGTACTTAAAGTGAATATTTATATATATGGTAATTTCACTGAGGAAAATTAAATTCACATCTTTCTCTTAGAAAAATTTGAGTCATTGGAGATAATGTTGCAATAGTTGCTGCACAATAAAAGATAGAAATATTCGTTTTAACCACATTCCTTTTTTCTTTTGTCAGTCTTAAGAGTCTTATGTTGTAGAATTAAAAGGCAAATATGTAAAAATCCATGCAAGTTAAACTAACGATTCTATGCACGTTAGATCCACAGTTACTAAAACAAAAAGTTTTGCTAATGTGTTGTAGCTATCCTAGTCAAGTACAGTATGGATGGCAATAGCTGTTATATTTTACTAACACTTGTAACTGATAGTTAATTTTTATTTATTATTTTAAATAATTTTTTGAATGAGGAAACAGCATGAATGTTGAAATTAAAGTGTCATGAAATTTTGGTTCAGTTGTTGTTAGAATAGAGAATATCCTCTGATTTTTCACTTATCAAATCAGAATACTTAGAATCAGCATTTGCTATTTCTTCATTACTAATCATTATTGTTTTCAATGTTAGAGGATACCCAAAAATATCATAAAGGAAGATTTTAATGAACTGAGGAAGGTAGGGTAAGCTTTTGATTAAATTTATACAAAGGCAGTCATACCATTCTGCCCAAATGTTTATGCATCTCTTTTACTCTGCTTTTGTGTAACCATTGTAATACAAGATAACTTATGTTGAAGGTTTCAAAATAAAACCACCCCCTGAACAACAATGACAAATTTTTTTTTTAAGATCAGTTGTTAGATTCCATACACTTTTAGTCAAACTCCTTCATTTTCTCAGTGGAAGAGTAAGATTGATATCCATAATGATGATGAACAATTTCCAGGCACTATGGGATTTTAAAGGGCTTTTTGATTTGTCAAAGAAAAGTTATTAATATGGTTTAGAATTACTCGCATCAGCCTTTTTCATAGTAGGATATATTTCTTTTATGTACAGTCATTAGACAACCCATTATATAGGGAACCACCCTGATAGAGATAGTAACTTTAAGATTATTTAATTTGTATATGTTCTGTGTGTGAACATTTGGTTTCTATTCTGGGATGGGCTAGGCAAAATGGGGTTATGGATAGAATAACAAAGTTCAATCTCTACCATTGAAGTGTAGGTTGGCCCAAGATTATAATCAACATTTCTACTATTGGTTCTCAGTGAAATGTTCTCAGAGTTCTAAAGAATCAGCTTAATTTATAAATATACTGTTCTATAGTAGTGATTTTCTTCATATTTTATACTTTGATCATTGGTATATTCTAGTTGCTTAAAAGCTAATAACTCTTTCATATACAATCCAAATAATGTGTATTTGCTAACTTTCTGGTAAACAAAACATTCCATCCCATATCATGATAGGAAAGAAATTTTATTCATTAAATTATCAAACAGATGGTAAGCATAATAAAAATGTTTTAAAATAAGTATTTTAAGATGAATTTGTTTTACTCCACCTAATCTGTTCATATTTTAATTTTTATTTTCAGCATATCTAGTAATTACGATGCTCAAATGAAGAGCCTTTTAAGGATTGTGAGGATATTTTGTCATGTCTTTCGTATTGGTCCATCCTCTCCCAGTAATGGAATTGATATGGGCTACAATGGGAATAAAACTCCAAGGAGCCAGGTGTTCAAGGTCAGAAAAGTATATGATGTTGTTAGGAAGATAGATGTAAAAGAGGTGCATTTGAAAAGCAAATATTCATTAATCAGAAACACTCTTGAACAGGATGTAACTTTGGTTTATACCTGTGACTGACACTTTTTAAACTAAGACCTTTCTCCTTTCTTCTGTCTAATCAGCAGCAAGTCAGTTGGTGAGCTTTCTATGTTTCTCTTACAAGTGAAATTTTAATTCCACTAGTCTTTTATTCTAAGAGTAATGATATTTAATGTTTAAATCTGATTAAATCTACTTTAAAAAATGGATTATAGGTCTTAAATGTAGCCATCATGATTTTTAAAAAAAATATTTCTTATTCAGAAAGAGAAAAAACATCCAGTTTTTATTTAGGCTTTATTATCGTGTGTGTTGTGTGTGTGTGTGTGTGTGTGTGTATTTTTTAAAGTAAGTTTAATTTATTGGGTTTACAAGCAGTTCCTTGGATAACTTAAAGTTAAGAAACATTGAGATATTTTCTTAATGTATTTTGTATTGCTTCAGCTCTGTGTTTTTTTCCCATTCCTTTTTTCCCCGATTGTGCCATCTCCTGGAAGAATGAAGTTGTGCATCTTATAATTCAGATTTTAGCTTTTCAGTGTACCACTTTCTTTAATACTGGTTAGAAGTGATAATTGCCTGATTTTGTAAAATTCAGGTCTGAATTATTGATCTGTTTTGTTACTGCTGTTTTAAGTGGGTTTTACTGCTCAGACATTCACATTATAAGAAGTTGTTCTTAATGTGTTTCTGATATGACTCATGCTGTTAGTTACTGAATCTACCCCTGACTGATTTTTCTACTTGTTCTTCTATTCATCTGTAATGATGGGTAAACAATCAAACCAAATATAGATATAGTCACTATAGACAAACTGAGTATAGATTATATTTATTATTGTCTTTGTTTTGTTATGATTTCAATTTGCCACCTATTGCTAATGATATCAGAAAATAATTATATGCTAATAGGTAACCTCTTTATAGGCACCTAGTGCTTGATTTAAATGTTATTTTTCTACCCAGCCAGTCAGTACAGATAAAACATAGTAGAAAAAGGTATCATTGTTTATTTTAGCATTTCTCTTATAGAATCCAGACTCTTTGTTTTTATTGTTATATATCAATGAAGTATATAATATATTAGTTTGGTGCAAAAGTAATTGTGGTTTTACATGGTTGCACTTTGCCATATGATATTGGAATAGTTTCTTAAATAAATGTGGTTATGTTATAGATGATTTTAATGCACATTTCTCGCTTTGTTTTTTTGCTAATGACATTACTTGCTATTTATATTTATTTTAGACTATAGAAATTATGGTAAACGAAAAGTAAATTCAAGTGATTTTTAAAATTTGAGTTCAAAATGGGTTGCAAAGCAGCAGAGACAACTTGCAACATCAACCATGCATTTAGCCCAGGAACTGCTAATGAATGTACAGTGCAGTGGTGGTTCAAGAAGTTTTGCAAAGGAGATGAGAGCCTGGAAGATGAGGAGCGTATTTATTGGTCATCAGAAGTTGACAACAACCGAGAGCAGTCATCAAAGCTGATCCACTTAAAACTACACGAACAATTGCCAAAGAGCTCAGTGTCAGCCATTCTATAGTCATTCGGTAGTTGAAGCAAATTGTGAAGATGAAAGAGCTCAATAAGTGGGTGCCTCCTGAGCTGACCAGAAATCAAAAAAATCGTCATTTTGAAGTGTCTTCTCTTATTCTGTGCAATGGCAATGAACCATTTCTTGATCTAATTATGACATGTGATGAAAAATGGATTTTCTATGACAACTGACAATGATCAGATCAGTGATTGGACCAAGAAGAAGCTCCCAAGCACTTCCGAAAGAGAAATTTGCACCAAAAAAAGAGTCATGGTCACTGTTTGGTAGTCTGCTGCTGGTCTGATCCACTACAGCTTTATGAATAGTGGTGAAACCATTACATCTGAGAAGTATGCTCAGCAAATCGATGAGATCCACCAAAAGCTGCAGTGCCTACAACCAGTATTGGTCAATAGAATGTGGTCAGTAGAAAGGCTCCAGTTCTTCTCCATGACAGTGCCCAACCACACGTTGCACAGCCAACACTTCAAAAGTTGAACAAATTGGGCTCTGAAGTTTTACCTCATCTCCCGTGTTCCCCTGACCTCTTGCCAGCCGACTACCACTTCAAGCATCTCAACAACTTTATTTATTTATTTTTTTCATTTATTTTTATTAGTTGGAGGCTAGTTACTTTACATCATTGCAGTGGGTTTTGTCATACATTGGCATGAATCAGCCATGGAGTTACATGTGTTCCCCATCCCGATCCCCCCCCCCCACCTCCCTCTCCACGCGATTCCTCTGGGTCTTCCCAGCGCACCAGGCCCGAGCACTTGTCTCACGCATCCCACCTGGGCTGGTGATCTGTTTCACTGTAGATAATATACATGCTGTTCTCTTGAAACATCCCACCCTCGCCTTCTCCCACCGAGTCCAAAAGTCTGTTCTGTACATCTGTGTCTCTTTCTGTTTTGCGTATAGGGTTATCATTACCATCTTTCTAAATTCCATATATATGTGTTAGTATGCTGTAATGTTCTTTATCTTTCTGGCTTACTTCACTCTGTATAATGGGCTCCAGTTTCATCCATCTCATTAGAACTGATTCAGATGAATTCTTTTTAACGGCTGAGTAATATTCCATGGTGTATATGTACCACAACTTCCTCATCCATTCGTCTGCTGATGGGCATCTAGGTTGCTTCCATGTCCTGGCTATTATAAACAGTGCTGCGATGAACATTGGGGTGTATGTGTCTCTTTCAGAACTGGTTTCCTCAGTGTGTATGCCCAGGATTCCTGGGTCATATGGCAGTTCTATTTCCAGTTTTTTAAGGAATCTCCACACTGTTCTCCATAGTGGCTGTATTAGTTTGCATTCCCACCAACAGTGTAAGAGGGTTCCCTTTTCCCCACACCCTCTCCAGCATTTATTGCTTGTAGACTTTTGGAAAGCAGCCATCCTGGCTGGCGTGTAATTGTACCTCATTGTGGTTTTGATTTGCATTTCTCTGATAATGAGTGATGTTGAGCATCTTTTCATGTGTTTGTTAGCCACCTGTATGTCTTCTTTGTAGAAATGTCTGTTTAGTTCTTTGGCCCATTTTTTGATTTGGTCATTTATTTTTCTAGAATTGAGCTTCAGGAGTTGCTTGTATATTTTTGAGATTAATCCTTTATCTGTTGCTTCATTTGCTATTATTTTCTCCCAATCTGAGGGCTGTCTTTTCACCTGGCTTATAGTTTCCTTTGTTATGCAAAAGCTTTTAAGTTTCATTAGGTCCCATTTGTTTATTTTTGCTTTTCTTTCCAATATTCTGGGAGGTGGGTCATAGAGGATCCTGCTGTGATTTATGTCGGAGGGTGTTTTGCCTATGTTCTCCTCTAGGAGTTTTATAGTTTCTGGTCTTACATTTAGATCTTGAATCCATTTTGAGTTTATTTTTGTGTATGGTGTTAGAAAGTGTTCTAGTTTCATTCTTTTACAAGTGGTTGACCAGTTTTCCCAGCACCACTTGTTAAAGAGGTTGTCTTTTTTCCATTGTATATCCTTGCCTCCTTTGTTGAAGATAAGGTGTCCATAGGTTCATGGATTTATCTCTGGGCTTTCTATTCTGTTCCATTGATCTATATTTCTGTCTTTGTGCCAGTACCATACTGTCTTGATGACTGTGGCTTTGTAGTAGAGCCTGAAGTCAGGCAGGTTGATTCCTCCAGTTCCATTCTTCTTTCTCAAGATTGCTTTGGCTATTCGAGGTTTTTTGTATTTCCATACAAATTGTGAAATTATTTGTTCTAGTTCTGTGAAAAATACTGTTGGTAGCTTGATAGGGATTGCATTGAATCTATAGATTGCTTTGGGTAATATAGCCATTTTGACAATATTGATTCTTCCAATCCATGAGCACAGTATGTTTCTCCATCTGTTTGTGTCCTCTTTGATTTCTTTCATCAGTGTTTTATAGTTTTCTATGTATAGGTCTTTTGTTTCTTTAGGTAGATATACTCCTAAGTATTTTATTCTTTTTGTTGCTATGGTGAATGGTATTGTTTCCTTAATTTCTCTTTCTGTTTTCTCATTTTTAGTGTATAGGAATGCAAGGGATTTCTGTGTGTTAATTTTATATCCTGCAACTTTACTATATTTGTTGATTAGCAACTCAACAACTTTAGTAGGAAAACACTTCCACAACCAGCTGGAGGCAGAAAATACTTTTCAAGAGTTCATCCAAACCTGAAGCATGGGTTTTTACACTACAGGAATAAAAAGCTTATTTCTCATTGGCAAAAATGTGTTGATTGTAATGGTTCCTATTTTGATTAATAAAGGTGTGTTTGAGCCTAGTTATAATGATTTAAAATTCATGGTTCAAAATCACAATTACATTTTCATCAGCCTAATATAAAGTTCTTTACTTATACTTTATTTCATTTGTTAGTATCTTTATTTCTGTTCTTGAGGAATTTTTTTTTCTGTGTCATTGACTATTGCTTTTGTTTCTGACCACTTATTTTCTCTTAAATTTTGACCTTTCTCTTTGGCAAAACATTTTTGTTGCAAAACTCAGTTTTTTTTTTTTTAAACACTAGCTAAAAAAAAAACAAACAAAACACTAGCTAGTGTTTCTCTTAAAGAATTAATTTCTTTCTATCTAATTTTATGAATTAATTGTGTGGACTCTCTGGAGGATGGCAAAATGACCTTCCCTCCCACTTATAAGGATGAAAAATAGAAACTACATTGTGATCCATGTATTTAATGTCTTTTGTTCATTGTGGGATGATTGAAGTTATAAAATCTGAACCATCTGTTGAGTTGCTACAGTGTAAGATTGGAAATACCATTTTAATTTTTACCACATTTTGTCTAAGGTAGCAGTTGATCCCTACTTTCTGTTTCATTAACTAGGTACTCTTAACATGTCACTTTATTGTTGGGATTAGCTAATGGGTTTTCCATTAAGAATGAGTGGGTTTATAGGCCATGTGTTTTTAGTAGGTGAAATTGTTTAACATCCTGTTATTAGTTTTTTGATTTATCTTAGAAGTACTTTAAGTTAATCTTAACACTTAGCCATTCTTTCAGTGTTAAGAGATTTTTATCTAGAGCCTTGCAAACTTTGAAACATCTGAAGGAGAAGGTAGTTCTGGTTATCGAAGCAGGGTGAGCATGAGGAAAACAGTTTAGGCTTCTTGAATCCTGATATGCTCTTTTTTTGTGAGTAGTAAACTGTGACTGTTAATGGTTTCATAGAGTTATAATTGGAGAAATTTAGAAGCTGAGAAAGATTGAGAAACTTTTAACTTTAAGATCTTATCCTTTGGATTATGGCATTTGACATTATGAGGTGAGAATAGACTAACAGAATTTCAAGATACTGTTGATGAATTTAAGTTAATAATGCTTTCCTGTCAATTTGGCACATGGATTGTGAAGTTTTTTTAATTGTCCAACAAGTTTGGGATTTTTATGTTATAGCTTTGACTTGTGAATTTGAAATGTTTTGAAAATCATTGATGTTATAGGTAGAATATAGTTTTGTGGTGAAAATCAACTCAGTAATAAGAAATGAAGTATTATTTTCATAGTGCCAAGAAGCCTAACATTTTCCATAGCCATTGACTCATTTTTCTGTAACAGTTGATATGTATGGTTCTGTGTATCTAGTGTTTTTTATCAGTATTATTTATGAATAGATATGGTTTGCAATTATTTATTTTTAATTTTTAAAATTTATTTTAATCTTTTTTGTCTGTTACTGCTACTGCAGTTAGAAATTAAAGTTATTTTCACAGCATTCTTTTTGTTATTGAGGAATGAATTTTCTGAACAAGTGTTCAAAGGGAAACTCCTTAAGTAAAAATGCTTTATGGTTGAGATTTCGTTTTAGTGCACACATGCATGATGAAATGTACAGTGAGAAAAAGAGAAAATAAAGAAAGGCCTAAGATGACTACTTCTCTACTGTTTTTCCTCATTCTCTTTTAATTCTTAGCTGTGCTACTTTATTGAAAACTCTTTCTATCTTTTCTCAGTATCATTATTGTCACTGTCATTTTTACAGAGATCAGCTTTTTGGGATATTATTTCTGGAATTATTCAGACTTCACCTTTGTCAGTTTTTGAGAATAGGATGGTTGCAGTTTAGGCTCAGTGCTCTCATCCGCACATGAGCAGTAGGTATCGCTTCCTGCCTCAGCCTTCATCTCCACCCAGTGTGGGGATTTTCTGAGTTTTGTCACTCTCACTTAGAGGCTGTTTATTCCTTTTGTTTGAAGCAGTTTTTCATCACCACCTGTTCTTTCTTTGGAGGGTGTTTATTTTTTTGATGTAAAGCTAGTAGTTTTGCTGACATAAAAAGTTCTTTTTCATGTTTTATAGCAGGGTTAATGTTTTTCTCATGAAGAGAAACTATAGACCCAAACCTGGATCATGATTAAAATTAAGACATTTTCAGTGAAGGTACCGTGTCAGTATTGATGGCTGCTGGTGCTTCTTGCCCTTCTTTTAAGCAGTTCAGCCATCCTTTAAGAAGTTAGGCACCCAACTCCTGTGCCTAACCTTGGAAAAGCCTTGTTTGTGGGAGAGAAGGGTGCTCATTTCAACCTCAGAAAATATTTCTCAGGAATTAGCTTCTCACTTTGTGAACCTGTTTACCTATGCTGTATTAATTAAATATATGTTGAATGAGTGAACTGTTTTTTTGTTGATGGTGGAGGGGTTTTTTTCTTCTTGCTATTTGGTTCAATATGTAAGTGAAAACTTAGGGGCAGTTTAAGTGTTTGCAGATTCAATAAGAAGAATATTCTCAAAAGAGAATGTTCTGGGAATCTGAAGATAGGCTGAAGGTAATAGTAGTGGGATTTATTAGATAATAATTATAAAGAATTTCTTGGCAGAACAGAACTTTAGAAGAGTTGTAAATATGGTTGTGTAATCTCTTTACAATACTGGCCTTTGAAAAATAAGAATTTTACTTGAAATAGGTAAGGGTGGGTCTTTCAGAAGCAGATGTCTAGTTTGTAGCATTCTGTGATCATATAAGAATCAAAAAGTAAGATTAATTTTTGTATTCATTTGTAGAAAGACAGTTTATCACTCTCATTAGGAATATTGAGAATATTGTGGGAATGGAAGACAATTTAACTACTCTCTCCCCTGCCCTCCTGTGCCTTCACTGTTCATTTTTATTTGGGTTTTAAAATGTTCTAGCAGGTCTTTTTTTCCTCTGAGTTTTATTGAGCTATAATTGTTATATAAAATGTTGAGTAACTTCAAGGTGTAGTGTGATGATTTGATACAAGTGTGTATTGCAAAATGTTTACTCCAATAAGATTAGTTAGCACATCCTTCACCTCACATAATCACTCCTTTGTTGCTCTTGTTGTGCTGATAACTTTAAAGCTTTTCTCTTGTAGCAACTTTTAAATTGTACAATACAGTGTTGATAACTATAGTGACCATGCTGTACATTACATCCCCAGTAGCATGTCTTTTAATAGTAGTTGGGCATTTATATTTCTCCTTCTGTTAAAAACTACTCTTTACTAGAGATGATGTATGTATTTCATCTTCTCCAGTCCTTAGTCCTGTTGTAGCATGTGTGATCACATGGTATTTTAAAGATAAATTTTCATTTGCTGTTAATTTACAAAAAACATTTAATTATTCTCAAAAGGAATATTTTATATAGTGTAGAAATAATAAACTCTTTATTCCCATTTTCTTTTTTTATTAAGCTGTTAATCTTTATTTTGAATTATGGATTTGCTAACCAGTATTTGATAATTACTGCTATTAGAGATGAGTTGTGTGTGATTGGGTATGCCTCTGTGTGTATGTGTACTTGTAAATGCTGTGATATCTAAAATTTCTTGTCATGAATTTTCAAAATGTCAGAGATTACATGTAAAGAAAAAGTGCAGTAAACCAAGTCGTTTATTAAGTTCTTTATGAATATTTATTTTTTAAATTGAAAAGCAACATAATTAAAAACAGTCGACACATTAATGCAGTAAAGACTTTAGGGAATTGTACTCATAAAGGTAATTATGGTTTTGAAACTAAATTTTTTTGTTAGAGTTTAGTTTTCCTTTTTTTATTCCACGGAATAAATAAATGCAAAATAAGCTTTTGCTATAAATGAAGTAATTATATGACATTTATATTTTTGTTATTTATCTTTAGGCATTGCAGGTCACATAAACTTGGGAAAATAGAAGTATCTAGAGTAAATATTCTCTCTTATAATATTTGTCTGAGTGGGTTTCTTTTTTTTCCTGCAGTTTAAGAATGATGGTTTTTTTAAAAAAAAAAACACTTTTCTTTTTTTCTTAGCCTCTTGAATTGCTTTGGCACTCATTAGATGAATGGCTAGTTTTAATAGCTACAGAACTGATGAAAAACAAAAAGGACTCAACGGATATCACTTCTATTTTGCTGAAACAAAAAGGCCAAGATCAAGATGGTACTTCCATTCCTCCATTTGAACCTCCAGGACCTGGGAGCTATGAAAATCTGTCCACTGGCACAGGGGAATCTAAACCAGATGCTCTTGAAGGGAAACAGGAAGCCAGTGCAGACTGTCAGGATGTTATTTCTATGACAGCTAACCGGCTAAGTGCTGTCATTCAAGCTTTTTACATGTGCTGTTCTTGTCAGATGCCTCCAGGGTAAGAAAGTTTCTGCTTATTTTGTGTGCTGATCTCTGCCTATCAGTAACCAATGTTGTGGCTGGAGCAGCCCTTGTGGTTCTTATTATGATTGCAAGACGCCCTTCAGCAATAACCATCAGGAAACTTTGCAAAAAAAAAAAGGTTTATTACTTACAGGACCTGGAAATTACATGACACACCTGGGGCCACACAGCAAGGTTGCCGGTAGAAAGAATGCTTGAGGACTTGGGGTTCTGTTTTTATTGGAGTTTAAGGTAGAGGCCTGGGGTTTTGAAAGCTCAGTCTTTATTGGTGAATTTAAAACATTGAGAGTGGGAATTTAAAGCATGAGAAAACACAAGTGGCTCAAATCATCAGTTATCAAAATCAATCAAGATCTCTGAAACAAAGGAGCTTGGAGATGAGGGGTGGCTCTTTATTTAGTTGTGGATCTGGCATTGTCTTTATTGGAGATAGTCATCTTTGAAGTGGACAAAGTAGAGGCAATCTGATCGATTTTCCTGGTTTGCAGTTTGAATGTATCTGGTGATTTTTCTGAGTGGCCCATCTAGCAGTAGGCACGAAGATTGTCCGTATATGAGCTGTTGTGGTTATTTCTCTGAATTTTACATCAAGTTGTCCTAATCTATCTTATATGAATTTGAAAAAGGAGCAGTTTTAGTTCTCAATGATTCCAAGTGAGAAGGGTAGGAGAAAAATCGGAAACATTAATTTGGAGAATTTTAGCTAGATGTTGGAGGAAGTGAAAATTCAGTATCCAGTCCAGTTTACAGGTAGGAAAAAAACCTCACAGACAGCTAAGAGGACTAGAATCTGATATCTACAAAGGTGTACTGTAATTTTCCATTGAAATGTAATTTTTCTTTACTGTTGCCCTCATTCCTATCAGAGATAATCAAAGTAAGACTAGTATGTTTGCATAGTAAATCTAGTTTTGTTAAATTTGACCTGGTTATTTATATAGTGGAGGAAGAATAGTGATTGGTCATTTAGGCTCCTATATGTCTTTTTTGCCAGAACTTTTCATAAGGAATCTCAGATTGAACTTTTAAAAAGCCTCTGGAGGATAAGAAGCCAAGTCAAGGACTCATCATCACATTTTGCCTGCAGTACCTGTAGATTTGGGTGAATTCCTCTCTTCTTGAGGTCCCCAAAATATCTTGAAGTTTCTGGGCCTGCCCGGAAGTGACCTTCCTTACTTACCTGGTAACTCTGCCAGGAACCCTGTAAGCAAGGTACCAGGTTGATTTTTCCACAGTTTTATTGGCTTCATAAAATTAACACCCTTAGTTCCCTAAAGTTGTCTGGTCATATCAGAGTCTATACATTCTTCTATCAAAGGGAGACATTCCAGTCAAAGCTTTGGCAGTATAACCAGTGTTTTCGATTGTGTTGTGTTACAAGGAGAACAGATTCTTACTGAACTTATGCAAGTAACTATATTGCCATGAAAATAAGGATACCCAGAGAGTTTCCATATTCTGGAGGGATCAGGTTAGGAGAAAAAGTAGTTGTTTCATGTTTGTTCACAGAGGTATGCTTAACCAAATTGTTGAGTTATTGCTAGCGTAGAAGGAAAAGTTTCTGTAAATCTGAAAAGCAAAAGATTGAAGAACTAGCAGTGTTTCAAACAAAAATTCATAAAAATTGTGATTATCCTTCATGAACTCATTAAGTCCTATATAATTCTTGATATTGATCTTTGGTTAGCAGTGTTATGAATCTGTTTTTCCCTTAAAGTTCTGTAAATGCTTACCCAGTTCAGTGGTAGGATGTGAAAATTATCAGAAACTTGTATTTGTCAGAGTCCTTTCCATGAATCTCCCTAAAGATGAAGCACCTTTGCAAAAGCATCAGAGTAAAACAATAACTGTCTGTAATTGGGAAGACTTGAAAAATGCCGGTGGTTAAAGATATGATGAGAGTTCATTGTAACGCACTTGACAGGGGAATTTGGTTATTTCTGTGACATACAACATTTTAAGATAATAGCTGGAATTACAATGAATAACATTACACATCAGAGTTTTAGGAATTTCGTATTATTTCTGGAACACTTATGTTAATAATACATATCCAAATAAGGATATTGAGAAAGAAGGTTTAGCATTATTTCTTGTCTAACGTTTAATGTATCAGATAAGCCTAATTAGTTTAATGTCTCTCTTTTTATAAGGAGAGAAAACCTATCTTTTGAGATGTTCCAGGGGCCTTTTGAAAAATCCAAAAGTTACTTCTAGGTCAGAAAGACTTCGTTTAGAATTTGGTTTGGGGAAGTTTGTCAAAAAATATTAAAAAGATTTTAGACACTTGACTAAATAATATCACAGATCATTATGAAATAATACTTAATTATCTACCTAACCAAAGTGACAGATGATTTTAAAGGCAAATGCAGATACTTACATTGTTGTGAGCAAATCTTAACTCTTCCTGTTGAGAAGACTCATTTTTCTTAAGTAATCAAATACCTGATTAAGATAGCATGGGACTTCCCTGGTGACTCAGATGGTAAAGAGTCCACCTACAATGCAGGAGACGTGGGTTCAAACCCTGGGTCAGAAAGATCCCCTGGAGAAGGAAATGGCACCCATTCCAGTATTCTTGCCTGGAGAATTCCATGGACATAGGGGCCGAGTGGGCTACAGTCCATGGGGTCACAAAGAGTTGGATATGACTGAGTTTCACTTAATCACTTAAAGACAGCATGAAATACAGGAAATTATTTTGATAAAATACAAAATCTTTGCTTTTCTAGCCAGATCACTTAGAGGGTAAAGGAAAACCATTTACAATCTCTTTCTCTATCAGCAGCAGACAAACACTGCAGGAAAACTGTCCTTTTAGCAGATGAAAAAAATTGCATAAACATATCATTGATAATAAAGCTTGTTGGGAGAAAAAAACAAATCCATAGGATACCAGTTGAATTTTAGCCAGCCTGACAGTACAAGGTAAAATCCTCTCATTCTGTATCTTTCCACCTTGTTGTCTTTTCTATATCATTTTGTTCTTTATTTCCCTCTTTCCTCTTTTGAAATAACCAGCTTTACTTTAGGGCAAAATTACTTAAAATTCTCTTAACAAAGGGGTGATAGGATGAGATGGTTGAATGGCATCACCAACTCAACTGACATGAGTTTGAGCAAACTCCAGGAGACACTATGAAGGACAGGGAAACATGGCATACTGCAGTCCACGGGGTTGCAAAGAGTCAGACAGGACTTAGCGACTGAATATCAACAACCTTATACCAAAAACACAAATCTTATACCAAAACACATCCTACTTTCCTTGCATTCAGAGACAGTTCCTCTCTTATATTCACTAGTTTAAATTACATATATTAATCAGAATTCTTAACCCTTAGAAACTTAACTTTCTAGTGAAAATTGAGAAGTAAGCAACTGTAAACTGCCTGTTATATCAGTATTCTTTTTATTGGCAAATTTATGAATAAGTTTCATAATTTATAGAAGCACATGCTTCCTTATAGTATAATTTTTCAGTGTGGTACAAGACATGTTTACCAAGGAGAACCAAATTTATCATTAGCCCCTCTGTAATGAAAAGCTCAAAGTGGATAAACCGATGTTCAGTATTAGTGTTTTACTTTATTTGGAAATGACCCAGATGGTCAGTAAATTTTCCATCATTTAACTCAGCAGAACTAGTTTCAAGTCACCAAAGAGATTTGGTGGTGCTTCCCTGGTGGCTCAGAGGTAAAGCGTCTGCCTCCAGTGTGGGAAACCCGGGTTCGATCCCTGGGTCGGGAAGATCCCCTGGAGAAGGAAATGGCAACCCACTCCAGTATTCTTGCCTGGAGAATCCCATGGATGGAGGAGCTCGGTAGGCTACAGTCCACGGGGTCGCAAAGAGTCGGACACGACTGAGTGACTTCACTTCTTCACTTCATTTTTACGAAGATATTCCATAAAATACATATGGATGTGAGAGTTGGACCATGAAGAAGGCTGAGTGCAGAAGAATTGATGCTTTTGACCTGTAGTGTTGGAGAAGACTCTTGAGAGTCCCTTGGACTGCAGGGAGATCAAATCAGTCAGTTGTAAAGGAACCCAATCCTGAATATTCATTGGAAGGACTGATGCTGAAGCTCCAATACTTTGACCACCTAATGTGAAGAATTGACTCATTGGAAAACACCCTGATGCTGGGAAAGATTGAAGGCAGGAGGAGAAGGGGATGACAGAGGATGAGATGGTTGGATGGCATCACCAGCTTGATGGACACGAGTTTGAGCAGGCTCTGGAAGATGGTGAAGGACAGGGAAGCTTGATGTGCTGCAGTCCATGGGGTTGCAAAGAGTCGGACATGACTGAGCGACTGAACAGCAACAACAAAACTATTGCTGAAAAGTTCACCTAAACTCTTACTCTACTTACATCTGTTTAAGTCGCTTGTTCTTAACAGTTATGTTTAGATTACTCATGAAAGTCTCATGAGACATTAGGCAAAATTGGTGATCATCCCAAGTAATTTTTCTTGCTGACAAATTTTGTAACCTAGATAACATGAACTTATTTGAATAGTAAACCCAAGTAGAATAAAAGCTGCATGTCTGTATTATATCTAATATTGATACATTTGAGACATGACTTTTAATTGAACTAACAAACTTAAACTACCTTTTATTTATAGAAGATTATCCCAGATCACATGGAATTGAAAAATGTTTGGATTAGTTCATGTATTACTGAGTTTCAGAATACTTAATTCATAATATTTATTTTTAGGCCAATTAAATACAGCTTTTTTACAAATTAATTTTGTCAATACTTTCCAAAGATAGAGAAAAAAAGTCACTTGCATGTAACATATATCCATAGGCATACAGAAACATGCAGCCAGACAGAACTACCCTATAGTTTCCATTCCAAAATTTTCCCTGTGAATCAGGTGCAACAATATACAACTTACTATTTTATAGACTACCTTTGAGTCCAGAATGTGTCTGGCAGATGGAACAAGTTAAGGTTTCCTGCTCCTGTGACTAGAGCTCTTTACTAGTGTTTGTGAAGAAGACTTCTAAGATTTGTATTTGTCTTTGGCAAGTTATCTTCAGGAGGGTGTGGACTAGATTTTCAGTAAGAGAGATTTTACAACAATTTATATTTTAAAAGGACTCTTTCCCTCCCAGTTTTTCCTTCAGTCTCTGGTGATTGTGGGCAGAGGTTTAGTTACCTTCTTGGGTATTTATGTTTCAAAGACATGGTGAGACTTACATCTGCAGGGACAGAGGAAGAATGTAAGTTTCCTCCCAGAATTTTTAGTGCCTTTTGGATGGTTTTTGTATACCAACAAAAGGTAGTAGGGCTACCTTGTACTTAGGGTGAGTGTCCTGTAAAAATAATTCTCTGGACTCAGGGTCAAATGGGGCTTATCCAGGGTTAAAAATGAAGAGGCAGTCAATTTGGTCACTTTGGTCATGGACATGATGAACCCATTGGGTCATGCCAGTTTTGTGCAGCAGGAGATGGGCCTCATCTTAACATTTTCCATTCACAGTGAGTCTTAGCAGTGATCACTATGATGGAAAAGTTGGCATGGGGTCAGGCATTAAATACCCAAGTGAGGGGAGGCAGTGCCCTGGTAATGAATATTGGTGGGTCCGGGGGCCTTTTGCCTTCTCGTCTCCTTTTCTCTCCTCACTCACAGCCTTGATAACCCTGTCAGCTTTTGATTTGGCACCAGGGAAGTCTCATGAGGCATGTTTCCTAGTTCTGCCTTGTGCAGGAGAAAGTGGAAGGTGGGTCAGGATCTGTATTAGACTATTGTTCTCCTTGTTCAGTTGCTCAGTCTTGTCCAACTCTTTGCCACCCCATGGACTGCAACACGCCAGGCTTCCCTGTCCTTCACTATTTCCTGGACTTTGCTCAGACTCATCTTTTGTGTCAATGATGCCATCCAACCGTCTTATCCTCTGTCAGTTAAGGAGTAGCTTTTGATCTCAGTTTCTGCTTCTTGTTTTTTTTTTTCCTTTTACCTTAATCTTATGTGTTGTTACTGGAAAATTTTAGATGACAACACTGCGAGCCTCTTTGTAGGTGGCTGCTTTCCTTTCCAGGGTGTCCCAAGGGAGCATTCCAGAATGGTGGTTTGCCTCTATTAGCATCATATGCTCAGGCTCTTGGGAAAAGCTCCCAGGCTTCTGAAATGTTATATAAAATTCTTAGTGTGTTAGTATGCATGGCCCAGGAAGTGGCCAGGAGGTTTTGTGTTTATCAAAGAGCTAGTGTACCTCCTCGGGGTTCCTAGGAGGCAGTGGCACCAGAGGTTTAGAATATTTTTATTTGTCCATTCATTTTTTAGCAGCTTTATATCAGAGATTGGACTCAATGTCCCATTGGGTTAGGGGACAAAGAGCAACGGTAGTGAGTGAAGTAGTGACATGGGGTCCATACTCTTCTCTGGAGGTGCCATTGGTTTCCATTGTGAGGCTATTTTAACTCTTCTAGGTTAGGACTTGTAGTCTAGGCACAACCCACTGACTCCGTGGTTGCATGTGGGAGTCTCCCCTCCTCACCTAAGGGAGTCGTCGTCTTGTGCCTTTAGCCAGAGCCTTTCCTCACGTGGTGGTGATAGTCTTGCTATCCAGTTCACTCTCCTTGGCTCTTCTTGGCCTTGCGGTATGGAGGACCCTCACACACATTAATAGTCAACTAAGGTCTTTATAATTAGTGGTATCATCATCTCATTAGACCATATGGCCTTGATCACACTTCTCTGAGATTGTTGGATTATGGCATCCATGACCTTTTGGGTTGGATGCCTCAGGCAGCACATGATAAGCACTGTGTAAAAGCAGGTTGCAGCAAGACAGACCCTCAGCAAGTGGCTCTTTTCCCAGATGGTGGTACTCACCTGAGTTAAGTGGTAGTAAGCAAGCTGCAGCTAACAGGCATTCCCGTTGATTTACTGCAATGGTAATCATGCAGTCCTGCTGACTATGCCAACTGTTTTATGTTCAATCTCCATCTATCAATAACCAGTGTTATGGCTGGACCTATATTATGATTACAGATGTCCTTCAGCAATAACCATTGGAAACCTTTGAGGGGAGAAAGATTTATTAAATTACATGGCACACCTGGGGCCACACAGTGAGGTTATTGTAGAGGGAGAGAGAAAAAGTGCACATAAGCCTGGGGTTGAGGGTGGAGGGCCACTTGGGTTTTGAAAAGTGAAAGTCACTCAGTTGTGTCTGACTCTTTGTGATCCCATGGACTATATCGTTTTCTTCAGGCCAGAATACTGGGTTGGGTAGCTGTTCCCTTCTCCAGGGGATCTTCCCAACCCAGGGATCGAACTCGGGTCTCCCATATTGCAGGCGGATTCTTTACCAGCTGAGCCATCAGAATACTGAAGTGGGTAGCCTATCCCTTCTCCAGTGGATCTTCCCAACCTAGGAATCAAACCATGGTCTCCTGCATTGCATGCAGATTCTTTACCAGCTGAGCTATCAGGCCCTATAATGACATGAATGAATTACATCCCAAGGCACTCTGTTGCTCTTTAATTATATGGTCATCATGTAATCTTCTGGTTATTTTTTACTTTTCAAATCTTTGTCCAGGGAATCCCAAGAATAATGGAGTGGGTTGCCATGCCCTTCTCCAGGGGATCTTCCCAACTCAGGGATCAAACCCACATCTCTTGTATCTCCTGCATTGGCAGGCAGGTTCTTTACCACTAGCGCCACCTGGGAAAGGTTTCGAGGACTCACTTTTTATTGGTGAATTTAAAACGTAAGAGTGGGAATATAAAGCGTGAGAAGAGTAAAGGTCAAGTGATCCAAATGGCCAGTTATCAAAGTTAACCAAAATCTCTAAACATAGGAGCCTCAGTGGGAGGTATCCTGACTCTTTATCTAGTTGTGGGGCTGGCTTTGTGTTTACTCAAGCTAGCCGTCTTTGAAGTGGATGCCTCACTAACCAAGCCTTAAGTCAGGTACTTGCATTACAAAGTAGAGAAAACCCAGTTTCTGATGAAGAAAAGCTATGATTTTTTTGTAATTGCAGAAATAAATAATACTTTGCTGTTTTGGTTCTATTCTGATCTTCAGGATACTCATTGAACCGATCTGGAATCAATACAGAATATTTGAGTTTTAAACATCCATCTATGTTATTAACATGTAGGATGGTGAATGTTACTTTCTATAGGATCATTTAATTATATGTTGGAAACAGAGAGATACTTAAAACTTCAAGGTTTTTAAAAAGTCACTTTATATCATCTGTTAATGAAAAGTTATTTTATTATCTATATCTGAGTGTGTGTGTATATTTACATATTTTACATTATAAATTGACTAGGCATGCCTCAGAGTCTATAAAGACAATCCAAACCCCATTTTCTTTTTTGATTAGAAGCCAGTCGAATTCAATGCATAGTCAAATTTACCATATCACCAACTTTTGTCTGTGTTCTGATTGTTTTTTTACCCTCCACAGAATGACTTCGCCCCGTTTCATTGAATTTGTCTGCAAACATGATGAAGTTTTAAAATGCTTTGTTAACAGGTAAAACTTTCTTGGTTTAATGGACTGCTCTTGTAACTTTTTCTTTCTTACAGTTTTTATCTCAACAGAAAAAATATTACTTCTGTTATTATCTAAAAAATGTTCAATGCCAAGTATGAGTATAGTAGGTGTGGGTTAATATGTATTTTTATTCTATTTCAATATCTGCATATCTAAATTTATATGTCACTTAATGCTACTCATCCTTCCCATTTATACAAGCAGTGCATGTTTTTCTTTTAGGAATCCCAAGATTATATTTGACCACTTTCACTTCCTTCTTGAATGTCCTGAATTGATGTCAAGATTCATGCATATCATAAAGTCACAGGTAGTGCTTTTTAAAATCTCTCTTTAGCCTGTCTTAGGAAAATTAAGTTTTTAATTTGAATACCCTTCAGTAGAGTAATTACTAGAGACCACCTGCTGTAAGTGAAGTGACATTACCTTATTTAGTATATGGAATTACCCTAGTGTGTTACTTTTGTATGAGGAGTAAATTTAAGAAATGTGTATTGAGTGCCTACTGTTTGCAAAGATAGCACCTTGTCACATTCCTGAAATGGAACACTAATCCTGTAAAGCCAATGGTTCTTGGGGATTTTATCCCCAAATACATTTGGGAAATATAACAAATGCCTTGTTGGGGATTTATAAAGCATATCAGCAGTTTACTAAAAACTTTGGAAGCCCTTTGGTAAATATAGTGGCTTAGCTTTGTTAATCTCCAAACTTATTTGACCTTTCCTTCCCAAGAGAGCTTTCCTTCCCAAGGGTTCATTCCATATATCTCATTTTTTATGAGACATGCTTGGGAAAAGCTCATTTTGCTACTTACCAGATATGTGACTTTGGGCATCTTTCTAACATTCTTGAGCCTTGAGATCTTCATTTACAAAAATAGAGATAATGACTCTTTAACTTCATAAAACGTCTGTTGTGAAGAATATGTTTTAAATAGTGACTGGTACATATATTCAATAAGTGGTAATTGTTTTGGAGATCAAAAGCATATGGTCCATCTCCAGAGGGATCTTAATTCACCCTAGCAGGGGAGATAATAAATGTACCTGTAAAGTATTGTAATTGTGGTACCACAGTGCTACCCAGTTCTTGAGCAGTTTGAGGGAGGAAGGGCTTGCGTTTGGCTGCTGTAGTCAAGGGAGAGTTTAAAGAGGAGGTGGATTTACATGCGGATTTTTGATAGGAATAAATGGGGATGCTGGGAGGGATTGGGGGCAGGAGGAGAAGGGGACGACTGAGGATGAGATGGCTGGATGGCATCACCGACTCGATGGGCATGAGTTTGAGTAAACTCCGGGAGTTGGTGATGGACAGGGAGGCCTGGCGTGCTGTGATTCATGGGGTCGCAAAGAGTCGGACATGACTGAGCGACTGAACTGAAATGGGGAAGATGAACATTCTAGCCAAGATATGGGTCAGGGCATGTAGATGGGAAAGTTGGTTAAAGCAGGAATTTTGTGTAGGTGAGGAATGAGATATAATTCTGGGAAGGTAGATTAGGATTATACTACATGGATCCTTGATTGCCAGGTTGAAGAATTGCATTTGCTAGACTGTCAGGAGCCACTGATAACTTTATTTCAGGAGAATAACATGAGCCTGCCAAAGTTTTAGGAAATAATTTGTCTGAAATGTAGGCTAGACTGGAGGCAAAGGTTTGGTTATTAGTCATAAGATAAATGCTATAGGTGTTTTAAAATGTCTTCAGGGACAGTGATCCTTTCAATAATTAAAAAAAGCTAAAAACTAAGCCTTATAAAATTATATACATGTATATAGGTCATCTTTGGCATCTGTTTAATAATGATGATATAAAAGAGAAAGTAGTGGTGATAACTTACATTTATTGAATGCTAACTTTAGGTCAGGTTCCATACATTTGTTTTATATAGATTATTTTATTTTCATACCAATCATATGATATAGGTACTTATTTACTGAAGAGGTTAAATAACTTGTTTAAGTCATTCAGCTGCTTAGTGTGGGAACTAGAATCTAAAAAATTTTCTCTGGTTCTTAAATTCATTTTCTTAATCTGCACCATTATCCATTCTAGAGTAAATGCGATTATAGGTAAAAGAAACATAGCTTTTGAAACAGGTAGTTTGCTATTTTTAATACTGTCTCTGTTTTTCACTTCCTTTCCCCTCTTCCCTTCCTGAGTGATTCATTCAAAAATCATCTGCATTAGCCATCCACCTTCTTGACTCACAGAAGGATTTTGTCACCTAACCAATACAGGTGTCCACATGCATAGTGGTGGCCCAGTGGGAGGTTTTGGAGCTTGGGCATGCTAAAGGACGGTGTATGTGTGGAAGAGGAGCTCACCATAGAGTATGTGAGTTGGAGCAGTATATGGAGGATGTCCAGTGTGCAAGCTGGTGATGGTTGCTTAGAGTAGTTTGACAGAACTTGAATGGGGTAACAGAGCTTGAGTGGGGTATAGGGTGTCTGTGCAGTGAATGGTTCACATCAGTGACTGAAGATTGATTATGTATGAGGTAGGGCAGTTGACTGAATTACTAAGATAATGGAAGCCTAGTGTCTTACTGTTGGAGAAAGGAAAATTAAAAGTTGGAGGAAAACAATGAATCATGCATGTACTGTTGAATTAGAATTGGAGATACCAGTGTGAACTTAGAGTTTCCAGTGTCGGTAGATAGATATAGCAAACCTGGGATCCACTTCTTGGCCTCTGAATGCCATTCTCAGTAGACTAGGGCCTGTTGGAGAAATGGCTAATTCAGGGAAAGTGTGAGATGAGCCTGGATCATCTTATTGTGCAAGAAAGTTGTTCAAAGAATGATGAATGATGAGGTTGTGTCAAAATGATTCAGAAGCAGCTTGAATAGACTCTAGTGGCCAAATCTGGAATAATCTGAACATCAAAATAAATAATGATGGCAAAATACTGCAAATAAAATTGAAGCTTGTAAATCTGTAGTGAAAGAATTAATGAATAAATGGAAACTATGATGAAGGGTGGTATATTTTTATAATCTCAAAGTATCTCCTTTTAGAATACTAATTACAAAGATTAAAAAGGAACTTTACAGTGGAAAAGCTTGGCAATGATCCCAGCAGACATACCAGCATGCCAGCACTGAGAATATGGCATCACTTCTTAGATATTGCTGTCACAGATGCACACCCTGAATTTAATCATGGGAAATCATGGTGGTTGTTATTCTGTCACTAAGTTGTGTCCCATTCTCTGTGACACCATAATAATCAGACTAAGTCTAATTGAGAGGCATTCTACAACATAACTGACCCAGTCTTTAAATGTAAGTCCTGAAAATTAAGAAAGCACAGAACAACTGTGCCAAATGAAAGAGACAGCTATTAATAAATAGAGTTCATGAGTCATTATGCTATACAGGATATTATTTGGAACCTGGCAAAACTTGAAATGGGGTCTGAAGATTAGATATAATAATATATCAATGTTAATTTCCTGATTTTGATGATTGTGTACTGCTTATGTAGATGAATTCTCTTGTTTGTAGGAAATACATACTAAAGTATTTTCTAGGACGGTCTGGACATCATGTTAGCAACTTACTCAGTTAGGGGGAAAAAGACACCATTGTACTATACTAAGAAACTGGAGGCTATGACAGAAAAAAGTAAAAACAACTACCTCTGCTAAGGGATTGACTTCTTCTTCTGTTGGTGGTTTTCAGGTGGCCTGGTAGTTAAAGGCAGAGACATTTTGTATTGCTGTACAAATATTGTTAAGAGGAGCCTCAGTTATCAGTCCTGTTTTGTGAATTATTTTATGGAAATACAGGTACTCAGAAAGTTTACATACAGAAATGTGTCCTTTGGTTTTGTAGGCATATGTACATATATGTGTTGGGGAGATATTTTGATCTTAACAGGTAACTTACTAGCTTTTTGTACCTTTTAATGTTACATTTGAGTTACTTAAAAAAAAAGTTGCCATATATGTTTATTTTAAAACTGGTTCTCATTTTCTAGATAAAGGATAGAGTTTAATATTTGATCTCTTATAATGGCAAGTAGGTTTACTGTCATTTAAAATACTTACTTGCAGTCATTTTAACATTGGTGTGAGTGAGAAGAACAGTATCTGTTAGCGTTCTCAGTTCAGTTCAGTCGCTCAGTCGTGTCCAACTCTTTGCGACCCCATGGTCTGCAGCACACCAGGCTTCCCTGTCTGTCACCAACTCCCAGAGCCTGTTCAAACTCATATCCATTGAGTTGGTGATGGCATCCAACCATCTCATTCTCTGTTGTCGCTTTCTCCTCCTACCTTCAATCTTTCCCAGCAACAGCTTATGATTAGAATCAGTTTTTCGCATCAGGTGGCCAAATTTCGGATTCTGGGAGTTGAGTATTTGCACAAATTACCTAGCCTCTTGGTGCTTCACTTTTCCCTTCTGTGAAATGGGGATAATAATAATGAGTCCCTTTTTCTCAGAGTGTTGTAAGGGTTACATGAGAAAATGCATGTTAAGTGCTTAAAATAGTACCTGGCTTATAGGTGCTTTAATAAACATTAGTTAATTTGTTATTATAATAATTACTGTCTTCATTTAATCCTCAGAATTAGCGCTTCAAAGTAGGTATGATTTTTCCCCACTTTACAGGTAGGAAGACTGAGAGGATTACATGTAGGAAGTTCTGAGAGGATTTGTAATTCCCCTTAGGTCACAAACCTAGTAATGATAGATCTAGGATTTCAAAACATTGTTTATCAAAATTCAAAGCCCGTATTTAAATTACTTCTGTGTAATGTTTTCTCCTCTTTTACCTAGATTTTAGGAATAATCAGCATAAAAATATCAAGCACTTAACATTCTAGTCTGTGTACTAAAAATGAAATAACCCAGTAATGAATATAACAATAGCAACATTTTATTCAAAATGTGGAAAACTTCTAGAAGTGGGATAAAATTATACATTTAATTTTGGAAAGGGAACATTTTTCTTATTGGAACAACAGATATTAAAAGGCAAAAATTAATCTTGCACAAGTTATTCTCATAAAAATATTTTATTAAGAATTGGTTAAAAGTGGTGTTTAAGTCTTTGGAAGCAAAATAATATTTCGCTCAGATAAAGAAATTTACTGGTGTCCTAAAAACTGCATGAGAAAGAGGTCCTCTTTGTGGTGTTGGATACTGATCACATTTGTCTCTTGAAGCTGTTGGCTTTTGTGGTAGTGCAGCACGCTGTTCTCCTTTGCCTTTTCTAGCTGTGTGTGGCATTTGGTAATAAGCAAGTTCTCAGTACTTACCTGTGATCATAAACTTCTCCATTCTTGGTGTGTGTCCCTGTATCTTTAATCTCTTGAACATGAGATATTACCTTGTCTCCTGTAGTATCTTCATTCATGACTCTTTCCAGTGTCTCACCTGCAGGACATTCTAGTATTTATTTCCAAGCTCTTAGTAGTTATATCCCTATTAACCTTAAATTTAGAATTTGTAAGATCTCATTTGTTATGTTCACCAGTACCTTCTAGGAATTGAGATAGATAGTGGTGGGGCAGGGGGTTTCCCCGCTAAGCTATTTCTGATGTAAAGTTCTGTCCTTAGAGACCTTCTCTTAAAGGAGTAATGTCTTTCAGATTTTCTTTATTGTTCTTTGCTACTGTGACCAGGACCATATCACTCAATTAGGTACCTTCAGTGGCCATTGTGTCTTGATTCGAAGGATCCGTAATTATGTCCTTGATTTGCTTACAAAAACTTCCTTCCTTCAGTGTACATAGGGCTGTGCTGGCACCATCCCTGCATCTTCAGGGGACGTGTTTCTTTTGCGCCCTTAGCCTGCTGTGCTCGCTCTCCCCGCTGCTTGGACAGAGCCTCCCCACCTGCAAGTCCTGCTTCAGACCAGGGTCTCAGGAAGCCGTTGGCTCTCCACTCACCCGCACAGTCTCGGGGTTCTTAGTACACTGTGATCTGTACGTTACTGTTTGGAACTTGGTATCATTATATGTGCTGAATTGTTTCAGTGTTAGTCTTATCTCTTTATGCTGAACAGCTTCTGGCAGTGAAATTTTTATGGCTCTTATGTTACCTGTAGTATCTGCACATACTAATCAGTTATACTTTCTGATTAATAAAATTACAAATCACTTACAGTTTGCATATCTGGCAAATGAATGAAAGGTAGAGACTATCTTAACTGTTCACAAAATCTTATTTTTCAGTTTTTAGGATGGAGGAAGGAAAGAAAAAAGTTTAACAAATTCCATTTTAGTTGCTGCATGTGTTCGAAGGATAGAAGTTAGAATTAGGTGTAAAGATTGTTTTCATGGAAAATTAAATGGAGTATGCAACATAATTTTTCTGGATATGGAAATTCATTCTTACAAACCTTTTGGGGTTTAGAAGAAATTGAGTGTGTGTTCAATTGTATGTCTGATATTAAATTCTTTTATCAAGTCTTTTCTGTAGATAATGCAGGGAATTAAAAGAAATACACTATCTAGGTAGTCAAAGTATTTCAACTTAGATAGGCCTTTTTGTGAATAGTAGATGAAATGTCAGAACATTATTTAGAACTAATTATAAATGTGTAAGAATGATTATTTGTAGAAAGGACGTTTAGAATGCTAGTTAAGTAAATCTGATAGTTAAGTGACTGAAATCCTGCTAACATATTTCACTGTTATTTGTTGGGGTAGCCATTTAAAGATCGCTGTGAGTGGTTCTATGAACATTTGCATTCAGGACAGCCAGATTCAGACATGGTGCACAGGCCAGTGAATGAAAATGATATCCTGCTGGTTCACAGAGGTATGTTTAGAAATAAAGTGATGTGTGTATAAGGCACAAAATGCTAGTTTTTGTAAATTTTAGTATGTAAAATTAACCACTGCTACATATTTAGATTCTATTTTTAGGAGTAGCTGTGAAGTTGTGTCAAAAGCAAATTGTGCAAAGCTAAAGCAAGGAATTGCTGTACGGTTTCATGGAGAAGAAGGCATGGTGAGTGTACAGATAAGTGTTGTTAAGATCACTGTCTATAAAAGATTGAAAAGCCCTTGCATAAAGTTTAATATTTAATTGATAATGGAAGAAATTTAATGTTATTATAATTTAGAAAAAATTTCGCCATTATATTTCTATTGATGCTTAATCTTATTTTCTTGAACTCAGGGTCAAGGTGTTGTCCGTGAGTGGTTTGATATTCTGTCTAATGAGATAGTCAATCCTGATTATGCATTGTTTACACAGTCAGCTGATGGTAAGTTGTAGAGTCGAGATAACTTTTTCTGTGACTTGTCACATTTTCAGACTACACTACTTCAGTGCCTTTTATCCTTTGATTTCTACAGTAGCCTTGTGAGTTAGGGTGACTGTTCCCTTTTCATAGATGAGGGAATTGAAATTCAGAATTTTTGTCTATAATAGCCGTTCACAAGTGGTAGGATTATGAGTAGAACCTGACTCAGCGTAGCATTCTTTCCTCTATAAGCAGTTGGTTGTCAAATGCTTATCTCAAGTACTGTTGCTGGCCTCAAGGAAGTTTTCATCAGTTATTTGTAAAATAAAACTAAATTTATTCAATTTAAGGCTTGTCCTTTAGTCTACTTTTCTTGAATTAAAATTGCCTTTTATAAGATGATGCTAGTAGGTGAACTTTTTAAAAAATATAAGTCCTTGTTTGGGAAAATTAAAATTTGCTAGCCCTATATGAGTTTACAACTCTTGGAAGTTTTTTGATCATTAAAAACAAAGTCTAGGAGTCATGGTATTAAATGTTAACTTATAGTTATGTTTACATTACTATAGTAACTTTGTTTTCAGTCCTTTTAAAAGATTGACGTGGTAACTAAAAAGCTTTTATTTAACCGTGTAATACAGATAAAAAGCTTGCTTATTGGAATGTTATTTGCTGCCTGCAGACTTACTGTCTGACATTGTAGGCTAAAGGACTTTCCTGCTGGCTCAGACAGTGCAGAGGTCTGCCTGCACTGTGGGAGACCCGGGTTCGATTCCTGGGTGGGGAAGGTCCCCTGGAGAAGGGAATGGCAACCCACGCCAGTATTCTTGCCTGAAGGATTTCATGGACAGAGGAGACTGCTGAACTCTATCCATGGATTCCTAAGAGTTGGACACAACTAAGCGACTAAATACACATACATTGTAGACTAAATGGAAGTGGTTACCACCTCATGTGTATAAGATATACTTGAGAGTTTTTTAACTTAAGAAGACTTACATCCAGGTGAAGATGGGATTTCAGTTTTTAAATGCTTTGTACAGTTGCTTTTATTTTCTGAAATTTTTTTCTTTCTCAGTGTTTAAATTCTTCTGTAAGAGAGTGTCTCATTAATTATAGTTTCTGATTGCATTCAACCAAGCCAGCAGAAATCTCCACTGAATAACAAGGATGATTCTAAGAGAAGCAAGTGGGGCTGGGCTTCATGATTCTAGGCAACTGCAGGAATTCATCTGTTTGATGGGCTCCTCAAACACACTTTGTGTATTTGAAATTATCTAGAAATATGGGACTTGCTGCTTTAATTCTGTAAGCTTTTGATTATTTTCTCTGAGGTAAATTGGCATCTTTGTGATTTTTATGACATTTGATGAAGCCCTGATTTAGCTATTTAGGCCTAATCTTTGAAGCAAGATTTAGCATTAAGACATTGTATGTTAGATTTATATCTTTTCTTTATAGTCCCTTATTCTAAACTGTCTCTTTAGTTTCATATCTGAGAAGTATATTTGAAATCTAATGATTTCACACCAGATGTACTTACTCATTCCTGCTGGCTCATTTGGTAAAGAATCCGCCTGTAATGCAGAAGATAGCCTGCAGTGCAGAAGATCTGAGTTTGATCCCTGGGTCAGGAAGATCCCCTGAGAAGGAATGGCACCCTACTCCAGTATTCTTGTCTGGGAACTTTCAGGGACAGAGGAGCCTGGCAGGCTACAGTCCATGGGGTTGCAAGATTTAGACACAACTTAGATATTAAACCACTACCACCACTTACTCTATAGATTTATAGCAGATAATATGTTGAAGCGCATAGACCGTAAAGTTTGTGACTCGTCCTTTTCGTAAGCCATATAGGTTTTCTCTTTGGGGTTATATTATTAATAAATTAAAAAGTAGATGAAATATGTTCTTATTCTAGAAAGTTACATTTAGGATTCCCAAATATGGGAGGTGCTTGGGTAGACCTGATGTATACAGTAATTTCTTTAAAATGTGCTTTCTGATTGAATTAAAATGCTTACTATAGAGCAGTAGTCCTGGAGGGGAGGGACCAGTGTTTTTGATGTGTTCTGCTGAATGTCAGTCCTTGTGCTGTCCTTTTTGCTATGATCTTGGGCTTGTAAATGTAATATTTCTGGAGCTCAGTTCCCTTATTTGAAAATGATGATTACCTGTGGTTTGTAATGTAGTGGGAAATCAGCTGATGTGTAAATATGCTTAGTCCAATGCCTGGCACATTGAAGTCAGAAATAAATATTAGGGGCTATTATTACTATTCTGTGAAATGATATTTTCTTATTGAATAAGTTTTTTCTGAGATGATGAAATGTCACAGTTTTATGGATTTGAACTTAAAGCATGACATTATAAAACTTTATATTCTATCTTAATTCATTTTCAAGTTAAAAACTTATGCATTTCCTGTTTTTCCTTTTTGTTTATTTCCTTTTTGTTCTTTTGATTTCTCTGTATCTATTCTTTTTGATAATTCAGATTTCCCAGTAAGTACTTAAAGAAGTTATGTACAGACTTATGAGGGGAAATAGGTAAAATTGTGATTATTCTCAGAATATTGTTAGTTTTGAAATTATATTTGTTTGTCTTTGAAGTCTTTCTTCATCTCACAAAACTTTGCTTTGACTTTTAATACCCAGTCTTACATTGTGACTGGGAATGATTCTCAAAAGATACTTAACAGTGGCCCTTTTAAGTCATTCAGCTGTAAGCATCCGTATGTGTACCTTACATTTAAGTAAACTTACTGGTCATGGTAATTTAGTCCAGTGCCAGCACTGATAAAGACCAGCGAAGCACAAAGAGTTAAAGTATGTATGCTCCTGTTGAGTAAAGTTTCACTTGTGTATCTGTCATGTCATCCAGCAAGTGAGGCAGAGACTGCCCTTGCCTGGTCACTTTCATGTCTTTAATTCCCAGGGCTGTGCAGGGGTTAGAGGTGATGCTCACCAATGGGTATTGAATAAGTTTGGCCATCAAACAAAAATGTATGCTCAATAGCCAAACATTTTACTTTCCAATACTTTGCTTTTCCTTTATTTATTTTTGATGTTATTTCATTAGATTTATCAGTTATTCTTTCTTTTTGCCCAAGTGCCTAGAAGAGAAGTAAATAGCATGATCTTAATAAATATTTCTTGAGTGAATGAGAGAATTTGTAATTTGAGGTAATGATGACATGAAAAAATAAGAAAAGAGGATTGAGATCTTGCTGTTTAGGTTTTTCCATTACACTGGATTTTTTTTTTTTTTGAGACTGTTTCATTGTGGTAAAATGTACATAACAAAATCTACCATTTTAAGTATTAACATTAGAAGTGTATACTTCACTGGCCTTAAGTACATTCTTCGCTCTCTGTTTCCAAGCTTTTTTTTTTTCCCCCACATAAATGAAATTGCACTCTATTGCACTAGAGTTTGGCAGTAGTAACTATTACTGATACTGTTTTAACTTTTATACCTCAGTGGTACCTATTCAAACTTGTTTATTTGTTATGATGAAAACAGTTGTACATTTAGAAATTTTAGTTATTCTCTTGCAGTGCTCTATTCTTTGAGGAACACAATGAGGTGAATACCTGCTACACTGGACATGTATATATGAATGAGACAATGTCTGCCCTAATTCACAGCCTAAATAGTTATTTCCACACTGCTTGGGAAAATGTGAACACGTGTGCACGTGTGTTTGTTTATGTGTTTCTAGGATCTCTCTGACACATCTTCTAGCTACCTTCAGTGAAAAGTATTCTAAATTTTCTCTCTGCACAGGCTTACTTTGATAAGTTTATGAAAATTAATGATTATCTTTAGTATTTCCAATTCCACTGTTAAATATTCCACACAGAACGTTCTTATGGAAGTTTATGCACAATGTAACAGCTTTGCTGAAGTTGTCTGTGAACTAATAATTTACCTGCATTGAAATGACCTCTCTTATACATAATCTTAAAAATAAATTATTTTATCTTGATTTTAATAGGGACAACTTTTCAACCCAATAGCAACTCCTCTGTAAATCCTGATCACTTGAACTATTTCCGGTTTGCTGGACAGATCTTGGGATTAGCTCTGAACCACAGGCAACTGGTGAACATTTACTTCACGAGATCATTCTATAAGCACATTCTTGGTACGGCTCTATTGTTATTTCCATAGACATATATTTAGAGTGTTTTTTTAATAGTCTTTAGGGAAAGCTAAGCAAGTCGTGGCAGTTGGGTGAATAATTTTTATTTTGATTGGAGGTTTATTTGATTGATGTTATTTTGCTCCTCCTCTGCTGTTTCGCCGTCTGCATGTGTAAGGCATTGAGGGCCTGAGGGAGAGGAAAAAAATAATCTACATTTTTGATAAATTGTTTTTCCCATTTTAGTGTGTATATGTTTATGCTAAAAATACATTTTAATATGAATATACATAAGAGAATTGGCAGTTTTAAAAGTTTATAATAATTTCCTAAAGAGCTCTTTCAAAGAAAGGCTACACTGTAGAAATGTGGCAGTAACATACAGACTTCCAAATTTAGGAATTAACGTTCATTTCAATCTTGCTGTGAATTGGATTATAATATTCTGCAGTTTTACAGAGTATCTGTAGAGGGCAGTGTCTCACCATTAAACAGACAAGGGAAGGCAGAAACATTTATAATGTAACTGCTGTATGTTTGCATTTTTAGGTATTCCTGTGAATTACCAAGATGTGGCATCCATTGATCCAGAATATGCCAAAAACTTGCAATGGATCTTAGATAATGATATTAGTGATTTGGGTCTAGAATTAACTTTTTCTGTTGAGACTGATGTGTTTGGAGCAATGGAAGAGGTGCCCTTGAAACCCGGGGGTGGAAGTATTCTTGTAACACAAAATAACAAAGTAAGTATTCAGATTTTTACCTTAGCCGTTGTTTGTAACTTAGCCCTGATATTTTGCTAATTGCTCTAAAGTCTTGGCACTAGCTAGAAAAACTTTTACTGTTAAGAGTTTTGTAACATTTATAGCAGATAAAATATTTAAATTGACTAAACCATCAAATAAACTTCAAATTATAAAGGATCATTTCTGTCCTGTGTTAGATATCCTGAGGCAGTTTCTTAAGCAGCCTAGAGCACAGTTCAGTTGATTGTGTAAATTGGGCATGTGCATATCAAAACATGCAATTAGAAATACAAACTCACATCAATACCATATTTGCACTAAATCATTGTTCCATCTTTTAAAAGTAAAATATTGAGTTCTAACACAGAGAAAAAATTTCAGTGTTTAAATTTTGTACACACTTTGGGATCCAGTATATTCTGTTAGACCTCTGAATTTGATTTTTTTAAAACTTTATAACTTGATTATTTTTATTTATTATTATATCTCCTGTTTGTGTATATATTTTTTAAAACTTGGTGCATGTTTTAAATTACACTGTTAAAAGTTATATTACTTTAATATGTAATATGGGCTTCCCTTGTGGCTCAACTGGTAAAGAATCCGCCTGCAGTGTGGGAAACCTGGGTCCAATCTCTGGGTTAGGAAGATCCCCTGGAGAAGGGAAAGGCTACCTACTCCTCTGGCCTGGAGAATTCCATGGACTGTATAGTCCATGGGATCACAAAGAGTCAGACACGCCTAAGTGACTTTCACTTCCACTTTTTTTTTTCAATATGTTTTATGTTTTGATGAATTAGGAAATTGAGAGTCAGAAAATCTGATTTTGGAATTACAATTCAGTCACTTACCAGTAGCAAGTTACAGTAAACCAGAACTAAAACCTTTTTCCTTTTCTTTCATTGGATTTTAGTTCTAAGACTGCTTCAGGATCAGCTAACTATAAAAATAATAATCATTGAATCATTTTGTAGACTAAAGATTTAATATAATTTGTTTGTTTGTTTTTTTTAAAGGCCAAAAGACTTGACCATATTTTAACCTCTTTGAGCCTCAGTTTTCTATTCTGTATAACTAGAATAATAACACCTTCCATGCAGAATTGGTACCAGCATTTTGTAAACTGAAAAACACAACCCAAACATTAGTTGTTATTGAATAGTTTTCTATAAAAATAGATTCATGGGTTTCATGTATGTATAGGAATGAAGACCTAAGTTAAGCTATGTAATTTTACTTTTTGAAACTTAGATACTATACATATTTTAAAAATACATGAAATTTAGTTTTGGAAAATAAAATCAGGAGCTGAGTTTTTGCACATTTATACTTATTAATTTTGGTCTACCCTGTCATTTTACACATGAAGACACTGAAGTCTGAAGAGTTAATGGTAAAGCTGGAGCCAAAACCCAGGTCTCCTAGTTTCAAGTCTGATGTTCTTCATCCTCTTAGCAAAATTAATCACATTGAGGAAGATCTTTTAATATATTTTTAATATAATGAATATGTTTAGCTCTAGAAGATTAAAATGCTATTAAAATAGCAAAATTAGATTGATGAATTTGTCAGTGAATGGAAATATTTTAAAAAATCTAATTATTAGATTGTCTGTCTCATAGTACTTCCCAAATGGCACTAGTGCTAAAGAACCCACCTGCCAATGCAGGAGAAATAAGAGATGTAGGTTTGATCCCTGGGTTGGGGAGATACCCTGGAGGAGGGCATGGCAACCCACTCCAGTGTTCTTGCCTGGAAAAATCCCATGGACAGAGGAGCCTGGTGGGCTACAGTCCATTGGGTTGCAAAGAGTCAGACATGACTGAAGCGACTCAGCATACACTCACTCATAATGCATTTATTATTTTATTTTACACTGGATACTTCCTCTCAGTTAGGGGTAATAAAGTCATAGAATAGAATCTTCATTATAACAAGAGATTGCTTTTCATGGGAGGCCCTCATTCATGACTCCTGTCTGTGAATACACTATCTGGTAGGTGGATCTGTCATTCCTCTCAGATACATTTTATATGAGCAAGTATAAAGGCTCATTAGCAATTGCGTGGTAAATAGCTATATTTATACTTGTATCTCCTAACAGCGTCCCTCCTACTCTGATGTGATTTTTGTTTAGATTTTTAAAATATGTTTTTTTATTAATTCTTTTGCCTTTGTATCTTTCTGTTGAAATCTAGAACGAAGGAATATTTTTAATAAATAATAACAAATACAAATACATTTACGTTAAGGTTATACTCTTGATCATGGTCTAGCCTGAGGCTGGAATAGTCCTGTAACATTAAAAAGCTTGGAAGTTTTGTTTCTAAGTTTAACACTGTACTATTGACATTGTTTTGTTAATGACAGGCTAACTGCTTTTTGTTTTTAATTGGAGAATAATTGGTTTCCAATGTTGTATTGGTTTCTGCCATACAACAGGGTGAATCAGTCATAACTATATGTTTATCCCCTTACTCTTGAGCCTTCCTGTCACCCTGCCCACCCCTGTAGGTCATCAGAGAATGCCAGGCTGGGCTCCCTGTGTTATATAGGAGCTTCCCACTAGCTGTCTATTTCACACGTGGTGGTGTATATATGTCAGTGTTACTTTCTCATGATGAGCTTCAGTAACAGGATCTCAATAACTAATATGTTCTCAGCTTTTGTTTTTCTAATATAAACAATTGCTACAATAAATTGAGCCTTTTCATTTTCTAATATTACCAGTAAGCAATAAGCAAGCTGATTTTTTAAATTAAAAATCTTTAGAAATATCTTAAATTGATCACTTGATTTAGATTTCAGTTTACAAATAAAATTTTCAAATTGTCTTCTTTAGACATGTTATTTTTTAACATATATTTCTGTCATGAACTTTTGTTATTCTAGGGTCAGCCTTTTACTTATTTATCTTTATAGATGTAAAGTTATAATTGCCACATTTGGAGTCAACTTCAGAATTTGTTAGCGTATTGAATCTTAAATGACTTGCCAAGCTTGTTAGTAAGAAAAAAGTCTATGTAAGCTGATCTCCACATGGGGGAGTCATTTATTCCTGTTTTATTGAAAGGCTTTGGTAATTACAGACTGAAACCAAATAGGTAAAATACATTTGTTTAAAAAAAAGTACATTAATAAATACAGGTAATATAGGGAGAACAATATATATCTGTTCCACATTTGAAATAAAATGCTCTTTTAAATTTAATTTTGTATCTGTGGTTTGTTTTAAAATCTAGAGGAAAAAAAAATCCTTTCACTTTAGAAAATGACTGAATTACCAGGGGATGAACATTTACATTTAAATGGTATTTTCAGCTTTTTAAAGAAGAGCTTTTTCCTTTCACTTTTCATTTTCAGTTTTAAATTCTTGACCAAAGGGTGTTAGGAATGAAATATTTTTGTTAGACCATCAGTTCTAGTTCTTAGAACTGAAGAGTAAGCTTTGTGGCTTTTAAGCGTTAACACCTTTACCCTACTAATCATAAAGTTCATTCAGGTTAGGAGGGGAAGAAAGTGAGGTGAGATGGGACAGGATATCAGGGAATGTATGAAATAGCATGGAAGTTGATTTACAGAGGAAAAGCATTAAGTGATCAGATAGGAGTAATGAAGGGGAGAAAGAAACGTTCTGGGCTTATAGGAAAGCACAGAGATGATAGAGCATGATATGTTGCGGTAAGCACGGGTGGGTCAGAGTTGTAGATGTTAGCTTAGATCCCAGAGTAAATGAATGGGAGATGATGAAGTGGAGGAAGTAGGAAGGGGCCAAATCCTGAAAGACATTGCATCCACCATTAGAAATTTGAAAGTTACTCTGAAGGCTAGGGGATGATTGCAGATGCTGTAGTGGTTAATGATATGATTGAATTTCTGTTTTTCATTTTTTTTTTTTTTTTAAAGAAGAATAGCACCAATCTCAGCTTGGATTGTGAAGAATGAGTTGAAATGGGGCAATATTGGAGTCAGGGCAACTGATAGGTGATGGTGGAGTTGGTGTTGGGGAGCATGCATAAGGGATTTTAGAAGACAGTGGGAGCAAGGATAGAGAAAATGAGATAGCTTTTTAGGATGTAGAATTTATAGAACATGGTATCCATACTAGCTGTTTGGGAAGGTGAAAAAGAAGAACTGGAGGATGAGCTGCTTAGGTGGATGGGCTCCAGAATGACAATTGGTATTGTTATCCCCCTAGCCATTAACCTCATCATAGCATTTGTACTTTCTAGTGATAGTAATAACCACTGCCTATTCAGTACTTTGTGTATATTCTATGTATTTGAGCCGTGTTCTTTGTGCATTTCTCATTTACTCTAACAACCTTTTGAGGTAATTATTTCTATTCTTTCAGTGTGGAAACCACTTTAATAATAAAAGCATGTGATATTTATTAGGTGCTTATAATGTGCTAGGCACTGTTAAAGGAGTTTTATTTGTATTAACTTAAACAGTCATATGCCGTCTGGATGCCCATTTCTGCAGGTGAGGAAACTGAAGCATGGGGAGGCGAAATTGCTTCCCTCCCAATCGCAGGGTAATGAATGGTGGGTGTGAGTCCAGACAGTCTATCAATTTAAAGCCTGAGCTTGTAACTAGGACACTATATTCCTTTAGAAATTAAATAACTGTCTAAGGGCTTAAAATTGGTAACTGGTAGACCCTCAGTTTAAATCGAGTTCTGTATGGTTGTGTAACTGCTGGGTCTCTTATTTACTAAGGCAGTGAATATGAACAAGGTAACAAATACCAATTTAGTATGCTTTCCAAATTTATGGTTGGCAAAGGGTAAGGGGAGGGAGGGAGGAAGGGATAAATTAGGAGTTTGGGATTAGCAGATACGTACTACTCTATATGTAACAGATAGACAACAAGGACCTACCATGGAGTACAGGGAACTATACTCAATGTACTGTAGTAACTGATGATGGAAAAGAATATGAAAAAGAATACACACACACACACACACACACACACACACGTAACTGAATCATTTT